GCGCAAAATTTTCGAAAATTCGCGAAATTTTTCCTCTGTTCTGGGAACTGTCATCCACCGGAGGCATCTTTTCAGCTTTGCTAGTCGAATCGTGCTTACTCGATTTCGGCCCCATGCTACAATTTTGCAGACGCCATGAATCTTCCATTAACTATTTCAGATCGAGCACAGCGCCGCCTATGAAAGCTTCGCAGAAGCAAACTATTTCGCATAAGTCATTCGTCACATAAGAAAAATGCCCAACACCCTCATATTACAAATTTCATGGTATCCCTTCCGTTGTGCGCAGTGCTTTTTTTGTTCATCTACATCAGCTTCCTGAACTTGCAACTCAATTGAACTAAGCATCAAACATGCTTAGATCCCCTCTGGCATCACAGTCAACATTCCTCCGTCGTTCAAGAAGAAACGGCCTTGATTGGAGCGGGGTGGAGGGCAGAGGTGGTGTTAGCTAAACGACCAGCCCAAAAATGAAGGTTTTCCCCTTGCAGGAGCCCACGGCATAGTCTGGTACATCAAATAACTTTATCAGGGAGAGATGAACACGAAATTATAACAAAACAGAAACTAATACGTATGTTTTGATTCACCAATTCACCTACGCAATGCTCCAACATCATAACGGTTCTTCCCCTTCGACCTCGCTCCCTCTCCCCCAACTTCCCCTCCCTCCAACCATCCCGAGCCCATGGAAAAGAAGTGCAAGCGAGTGGAGACTTCAAGCACGCGGGTGGAGATTCAGCAGCTAGCGTTTGCGCAATACTGGAACTGTGGCTGCAGCCGTTACACTGTTCGATCTTTGGTTTTCGTCCTGTTGACTGTGTGACACATGTGATTAACACGTGGTAGCCGATTATTGCGGATTAATCGGGCAAAATCTAACGCTCGTGCAAACAAATTTTTTCAACTTAATCATTTATCCGAGCAGCACAAGTTTCACCTTCGGCATTAGCAGGGGCAAGTCCAGAGAGGGAGGTGGGAGGGAGGGGGACGGAGGGGAAACGCGAATGAAGGGTTTTTCGCCTCCCTCCTCTCCTCCAGTGGCACGGGCACCAGTGCTACAAAAGCCTAGGTCTAAAGCTGAAAATAAACTAAAGCCTAAAGTAACTCCAAGCACCAGTATTGCAACTCTATTTCTAGTTATTATGCGCTTTTGCTTATATGAAAATTGCAAAAATGCATACAGAGACAACCCTGTG